AAAAAAAAAAGTGTAGCCAGAGCCCATTAACTAGTCACTTAACTTCTGATGTAATATTCCAAGGCAGATTAAGATCCGCACCTTGATTACTATGACTGAGTAGTAACAGCCCCAAATAAGTTTTGGAAAGTGCACTTAATAACTAGGTCACATAAAATAAAAGAAACCAAGTCAAGCCATAAAAACACTTTATATCCAAGAAGTGTTGAGGGTGGATTAAATGAGTTGCAGCTTTATTTTCCTTAAAGAGCTATTTTCTTAAAAAGCATATATCCTGATTGCATTATTATTAACTACATCCTTGTTATTTTTATAAGACAAAGTAATGACACCAGAATCACATAACAATAGAACTTGAAGGAACATTTATAGTAGACTCATTAAGATTTTAATTTAAATTTAAAAATCTCTTTGCCTAAAGATGTTTCAAGATGGTTGAAAATAAATGCTCTTACGTTTTATTTTTAATTAATCTTTTCCCTGCTTTATGATTCTCAAGGAGTCATTCCGCCTCTTATCTGTTTTCTTCCAGACAACGAATAACAAATAGAATGGAATGACTCCCTTTCATTTAAAACCACTGCAGTAAAAAGAAAGATTAAGAAGGAAGTGCCATAAGAATTGAAGAGATCCAGTGCACCTTTTAGGTAGGTATGATTATGGACACAAGTATAATTCTTTTTTTTTTTTTTTTGGATACCGGGGATGGAACTAAGTCATTTAACATCTGAGCCATATCCTCAGCCCTATTTTGTATTTTATTTAGAGATAGGGTCTCACTGAGTTGCTTAGCACCTTGCTTTTGCTGAGGTTGGCTTCAAACTCGAAATTCTCCTGCCTCAGCCTCCCAAGCTGCTGGGATTACAGTTGTGCACCACCACACCCAGGCACAATTATAATTCTGATAACTTTTTTTTTTTTTAATCACATGCAAAGGACCTAATGCACAATGCCAGGAAGACAAGATTCATTGCCAGACAAGAAAAAGGACAGAAGTGGCCAGGCCATTGCTCCATGAACTCGGGTACTTACGGGGCAGTGAGGTAGCCCTCCAAAAAGCCAGCCACAAACATGATGATCTCATTGCTCAGAGCCTGAGAGCCATACCCAGCTCTGATCTCCAGGATGCTCCAACCTGTGGTTTCCATGGAGTCATTGTAATAGCCATAGGCATCCCCACTCTTGTCCATTACGTGTTTGACTTTTATCGACTTTTCAGAAGGTATCCAGTATGCAGTTGCATAGTAGACTTCTGGAAGAAAAGGAAAAACTGCTAAAACGGTATTCCATAGACACCTGGGTATATTGTTTCTATGTAATCAACAATTTCAACACATTTGTTTCTATTAGAATGTAGTTGCCTTGCTACCAGTGGGGAAAACCAAAGCCTTAATCAAGAGGGATGTGCCCAGACCACAAAGAGGCAGGTCAAACGTAGGGGTGTAGTTACAGCATCACAGAAGTGGGCTTAAGAATTTCATCCTTAGGAATGAGGTTCTGGGTAGAGCTGGAGCTGGAGCTCTCTCACTTCTTTTTCTTTTTTTTTCTCCCTCGCTCCTTAATTCAGCCAATGAAAAGGTTCTTGGCCCTACTCACTAACTTTTTTCATTTCCCTCTACAGTTGGACCCAAAGGCATTCTTAGGTTCCTTATCCTACATTCCCTGCTCAATTCTTCCTGTGTGACATCCTTATTTTGCAGAAAAACTCTAAGCTATCACCTATCAGGGTGTTGGTAGTTCTGTGAATCCATCCTCACCAACCCTCCACTCATGCCACCTTTCCCTTCTTGTTCACCCCAGTCCTACCCTAATCTGGATGCCACCCCCTTGCCTACTTCAGGAACTTTGTACCATGGTTGTATCCTAAAGCACACTCTCCTTCCCCCTTAGCACAATGCAGATGCTCCATTATTCTCACAGATAAAAAAGAAACCAAATAACAAAAGCCTTCTCTGCATCTTGTGAACAGATTCAGCTAGTGTTGGGATCTCTCACTCCCTTCATGAAATCATCATGAATTTTATGCATCCCCACTGCATTGAGGACTGTGC